CAAAAGAATCTGGACCCATGAAGTCACGAGCGCACATTAGCTGTCCAAAATATAAAAAAAGCTATAAAAAATATTCCATATTTATCAATTCTTTACCCTGCTGCTTCAATTATTGTCGAAATCGATGCCTCTGATTTAGGCTTTGGTGGGGGTGTTAAAGCAGATTCCAAAAAAGTCAAGTCAAGAACAGTTTGTTAGGTACTATAGTGGTGTATGGATTGGCTCTCAAAAGAATTATTTTACTATCAAAAAGGAAGTTCTATCAATAGTTTTATGTATTTTAAAATTTCAAGATGATTTAATCAATAAAGAATTTATTCTCAAAATTGATTGCAAAGTATTAAAAGATATTTTACGAAAAGATGTGAAAAATCTTATCTCCAAAAAAATTTTTGCTACATGGCAAGCTATTTTGTCTTGTTTTGATTTCAAAATACTATATATAGAGGAAAAATCAAACTACTGGGAAGACTTTCTCACGAGAGAATTTATTCAATCTGGAGAGAAAAGTGTGAGCGATGGAATTCTCAAAAGTTGAAGGTAAAAAGCTAAAAAGCTACTAACTTTTGAGAATTCCATCACTCACACTTTTTACCTTCAACTTTTGAAAATAAGTCCTCATCCATATGAAATCAATGAGTCAAAAGCTACTAACTTCAAAAAAATTGTTCAAACAGGTACTGAAAAATTACCAAAAATCAACCCCTCAGACAATTTCAAATATTTTACCAAAAATATTCACTATCCAGTCTTTGAAATGAAAAGTTCATGGCAAAAAAATTCTTCTCTTGAAGCTTGTCTTTCAGATATTTTTCCTTCTAACTTCCATTATCTACCAAACAATATAAAAAAGAATCGTGAGTTTTATGAGGTTATTCTCATAAAAACAAAATCAGCCATTATTACTCACACACTAAAAGATTCCAAAAATTCAGATTTTTTAAAATTTTCAATTTTTAAGATTTGGTCTTATGAAGACTGGGGACAAAAATCTTGGGAAGAAAAACGTATGAGCTTGCCTAATGGTAAGTTTGAATGTTTTAATTATCTTGATTACAAGACTACATGGTTTAATATTTTCTTCATTAGACCAGTTACTCATTCCTAGTTTATTTTGTTCCATCAATCTTGTAATCATATTTTTCCAAAATGGTTTCAAATATGGTTCATATACTTTGGTATTGAGGAAAGTATTTTACCCAGTCTAACTCACCAAGGATATGAATATTTTAAAAGTGAGGCAAAATCCTTTTTGTAGCCTCAAGAAAATAACTTGTTTCAATTTGCAAAAAAATTCAAGGTATCTTGGATTTTCTATTGGGATTTATTGCTTCTCCAAGCTGAACAAGAATTTGCTGTCAAAAAGATTGTTCAAACATTCAAAATAAAGTGGTGGTCAAAATTCTATGAAACAAATTGTTGCTCCAAAACAGTTTATTCATGGATTCAAGAACAAAGAAATTTGGGTTCACCTAAATTTTCAAAGAAAGAACAAGAAAAGTAAGCTGATTTTCTAACAGAAAAATCTAGATTATTAGCTATGTTATCTCAATGTAAAATTTCAGACTATGTTATCTCAATGTAAAATTTCAGAAGAATTATCGGCAGTTTCAGAGAAAATTGCCAATCTTGCTGAAGTTTCATAAAAAAAGAACTCAATTAGATACTGATTCAAATTATTCTCAAAGTACAGACAATGGCGATGATTGCTATGGGATTGACATTGATGATCTCTTAGCTCGCGAAGAACAAAAATGACTATATGGACCCAGTTATTTGGATGAATTACATTTTTATATGGTCTAAAAATTAAAAGATATTATGTTCAAAATGTGTCTACCGCCTAATAAATTATGTCTTCTAGTCTTACCTTCTCTTAAGAAATAAAGTTAGAATTATTATGATGGTATCTTTCAAAAGATGTTGGTCAAATTGAAAACATATTCAATTTTCAAAAGATGACTAAAGTTGATTCCTTCTTCACAAAATGGGAGACAAAGAAAAGATTCTCTCTAGACTTTTCTCTTGGCGGATTAACTTTTGCAAATGGATGATGCAAAAGTTTCAAAAGATACAATTATTAAAGATTCCTTCTCCAAATTGAAGAAAATTTCAAGTCCGGAGCTCAAGATTTCAAGTATTTAAGCAGATCAAGTGTTGAAAATCTCCTCAGAGTTAATTGAGTGTAGCTCTCAAGAGAATTTATCTAGCAGGAGATAAATCATTCTCAAGATAGTTTGAGAAATCCTTGTATTTTTTTACTATCTTTATTTTTGAATCTTTATCTTTCAATTGTGTAATTCAAAGTTTATTTCAAAATTTGTATTTCAAATTTTCATATATCAATAGAATTATCTTCATTTCAAACATTTGTTCCATTTTCACTTCTACTCTTCCCCTCTTGGGTATATATATGGTATTACAGTATGCCATGGCCACAGGCTGAATCTTACAGCCTAGGTCTGCTCTAATGTCAAAATGACATTATTCGAAAATCATGTCGAAAATCTCGACAACGTTTAGATTTCATCTTTGATTTTTCTTAATGCACCTAGAAGTTATGGGGTTGAATTATCAAATTGTAAAAAAAAAATACGAAATGTCATCGATGCTTTGGCTGCTTATTTGCACGGAAGAGGCCGCTACTATATTATATCTTCATCAACTTCATCATCTATAGGATTCTCTATCTGCACATAAGTTATATATATGCTATGTTTGATTTTTGAACATCTTTAAATTGAGAAGTCATTGTAGATTTTCAAGTATTGTGTTAGGATGTACAATAAGAGTTTATGCTAATTAAAATACAGTTTATCTTTAATTAAATAGTAGAAAAAGTTAATTTAATTTTTGTATAATTTAATGTATCTTTAGCTGATTAATGCTTATTAATTGGTTAGTTTAGTATAATACAATTAAATTCAATCATAAATACACTATGTGCTTGTTTGGTAGGAATTTTGAAAATTGATTTTTTTACTGTTATAGATAAAGTGAGTCATACTTGTGAGAGAAAAATTCAAAAATGACGGCTGAAATAGTGAAATAACGGTCAAAAAATTGATTTTAGTTGGTTTAAAATCTAAACTAAACAAGCTCTATATAAATTTTTCAAGAAATTAACACCCCTTCCTTTTAATTAATAACATTCCATGGTACAAATTAATAGAGGTTAATGATATCTAAAATCAGCGGTGCTTGGTAGTGGTCTAATTCATTAGAAAATTAAAGATAGGCTCTCAAAAACATCTAAATTGGTACTAAACACTTCTAGACAAATAAAGTGGACCTCACCACTGACAAATTTAAAGTAGGGGCAGTGCATTAAATTTGGGGTAATGAAGTCAAAACAATTTATAATAGCTAATTCCTCTCTAAACTGCCCAAACTCCAAAATTATGTATATTTCCTTCTTGCCCCTATAAGTTTTGGATTTTGCTACTTCTGTATTCTTTCTGTTTTATCATACATGTTGTTTCATTCCTATTTATTGATTAAGTATAGAAGAAAATTTGTATTTCGTACAAAACAAAATGATAATATTAATGAATCAATTAATGTAAAACTGATGTTGCACTACTTCTTACAAATTTTAGACTAAGAATTTTGATTATGGATTATAATGATGTTCGATATCGAATTTGAAGAGCATACTTATAAGTGGACCCTTGATGATATTAATAATGAGGCCATTATGTAGCGTTTTTGAAATATGAGAACTCATAAATAACAATTTAGTATAGTGAAAACAATTACAACATTTTAAATATTCTTAGTTTTTCCCGTATTTCAATTCTTATATACTTTAAGTAAGCTTGTCTGGGAGAGATTTTTTCAAAAATTATTTTTCTTCAAACTCATTTTTCAAATAAATAATTTGGACGTAACCACAAATTCTTCAAAAATAAATAAATAAATAAATTAGTTTACTCCAAAAAAATATCTCCCAAATAAACGCTAAATGTATTCTGGACCTGCTACCTGCTATAGTGACAGGGCCAAATGACAGGCCCTTAAACAAGGGCTTGCCACTTCGGTCCCTATCAACAGGGCCTGTTTGAATGGCAAAATCCATATATTCTTGTCCCATCGTTGAACCTCACTACCAATTGTTTGAGTGGCTTGACGTGTCAAGTGTGTAGACTAAACGATTTGAAATTTCTTCCTTTCAAATTGTTTATAAGGCATTTACGAGGAATTTATAATGTGAACATGTATTACCAAAATTTGAAAAAAATAATCTAATTACTAGAAAATCATTATGATTGTTCAATACAATTAATATTTGACTTTAAATGCACTTTACAAATAAATTGAGTTTAGTAAATGACGAAATTGACTACAGAGGAAGAGGAAGAAAGAGAGAATTTTGGGGAAATTACTAGGATCCAGTTATCGCACTCAAGCAATCTTTGTCCTAATATACAGTAATCATTAATGACTCTTCTCCATTTTCATACTTGTTATACCTTCTCCTTTTTCCAGATTAGAAACAAAATGCAATATTATGAAAAACTCCTCCTTCATTTTCTACTCTATTAAATTGACTACGAAGTGACAATTAACATGTCTTAGCCTCAACATTTTATGTTAACTTATTTCAGATATGGATTGAGATTCCTGAGATATTTTGTACAGTCATGACTTATCTGGTAAGGTGGTTTACTGCATAGTAAACGTGCTTGGATAGAAGGAAAAAGGAAATGACTTTTTGGGTGAAGTAGAATTCAATTTGCAGGTACTTTTTGAGAGCTTGTGCAATGTTTTACATGTAAAGATTTCAAACCTATTCCTTAATAGCATCTTTATATCAAATTCCTCCTAAAATCCGTCCAGGTGGCCCTGTTAGTGTAAATGACTTTCCATTCGTGCAGGGCGTGAATATTTAGACATGGACTTGTTGGAAAAAATGGACCCACTTTTTTCTTGAAACGTTCTGTTTAATTAGATACATTCTTAATACTCATCTCCAAGAAAAAACCCCAGCAGAACACAAATCAACATCACCAAAAAATCATCATCAGTTACATACACCATCAAACGGGAAAAAAACCGTGCCAATGGCTGCTGTTTTTTGGTTACTTATAATCTGTTCTGTATATGTTTCTGACAACGGGATTGAGTGTTCAGAAACTTTAACTCCTTACCAGGTTTTCAAGAATGGACAGACTTTAGTCTCTGCCAATCAGAGATTTGTGCTCGGATTTTTCAGCGTTTCTTCAAAAATGGATCACAACCATCGAATGTGGTACTTGGGTATATGGTACAAGGAAATCAAACCATTAACAGTAGTATGGGTTGGTAACAGGATGAAGTCATTGCGTGGATCTAGGATTAGACTTGTTTTAAACTCTGTTGGAGATCTATTGCTTCGGGATGATGGGAGAACTGTGGTTTGGGTTTGTAAGGTTGCACAGCCAGCTTCCAGGCCAGAACTGGTGCTTCTGGATTCAGGCAATCTTGTTATTAAAGATGGTGACAATTTGTCAGATGGAGAGTTTGTTTGGCAAAGTTTTGAATTTCCTACTGATACATTGTTACCAGGAATGAAGCTAGGTTGGGATTTGAAAGCCGGTTTACAACATGTTATGACGTCCTGGAGATCGTATGAGGATCCATCTAATGGTGGGTTTGTGTTTAGCTTAAAATCACCTCAATCACCTCAATTGCTACTCGAAAAGAATGACGTAGCAGTGTCCAGGTGGGGTCCTTGGGATGGGCATAGATTTAGCGGTACTGATGCTATCACGGATAATCCTGTATTTAAGTCTGTATATCAATTTAGTTCTGATGAAGTTTATTTTACATATGAAATGTTGGATGACTCTATTTTACTCAGACTGGTGGTGAATCCAATGGGCACCATACAGTTCTTGAAATGGAAAAATAATGCCCAGGCTTGGGTTCCATTGGTGACCGTGAATAAGGATATCTGTGACAGGTTTGGATCGTGTGGCCCTTACGGAATTTGTTATGCTGAGGATCCAGGTTGCAGGTGTCTTAAGGGATTTGTAGCCAAATCGCCAAATGACTGGTGCGGCATGGACTGTGGTGATGGCTGTAGGCGGCGCTATGCTCTAAATTGCAGTAACGGTGATGGTTTTGTGAAGTACGAAAGACAGAAATTGCCTGATAATTTCACTGTCTGGAAGAACTTGAGTCCTCAGGAATGTGAAGATAATTGTTTGAAGGAATGTTTTTGCATGGCTTACACAAATATAAACATATATGGAAATGGAAGCGAATGTGTGGTATGGTTGGGCGACTTGCTTGATATTCGGTATTCCATTCATGGTGGAGATGAGATTTATGTACGTATGGCACATGGCGAATTAGGTAGAGTTTTACTAATATTATGGCCAACGTCTTGTTCTTATACTATAACTGAATGTGTATGCTACTTGCTTAAATAACATGTGCATGAAATTCGTCTATGTTATATGTGCACCTTTTCACGTGTAAGTGGATTACATGATTTTTGGGATGAAATTTAGTTTCTTCAGGAACATTGAATTATCTTACCTATTGTTTGCAAATTGTAGAGAAGATGAAATGCAACCAACAAACTAAAGTTTGATGCCTCCAAAAATGCATTCATATCATTACCTGGACTTCAGATATAATATGTATGGAACAATGGATTGTAATCATTCCATTTGCATTTACAGTTCAATTAGTATGCCTCATAGAAATTTGAAAGAAGCTTATGCATTCAGTTACACTTGCTTGTGTGTCATTTGCTCATATTTTCTGCCTTTTTCTTTTCTTTCATGCATAACCTGCTGGTATAGAAGTAACAGATTCGACTGGTAATTATTGCTGAATCCACAGGCTACCTCATTCATATATCAGACCTCTAAGAAGGATCTTGAAATAGAATAAATAAACACTCATGTAAACATTCATCAAGAATTTTTTAATTCGCATCATCAAATCAATTTTGTTAATCTTCACAAGGCAATGCCTTCACTGATTTCTCCCAGTCACTATCTTTTACAGAGTCGATTGCCTATGCTAAGAGGAAGAAAGAGGCGACCATGATTGCCAGCATTCTTATATCAGCAATTCTTGGGTTGACTGTTTGGTGTGTCGTTGGCTTGTATATATTCAATTTTAGGGTTCGCAAGAGGCAAGGTAAAACTTTTATGTTAAGCCATACTTATATCATTTCACCGTCCATTTCCCACTAAGATGACAAGCTAAATCACATTAATACATTCTTTTTATTCTAGTGCCATTTGAGTACCGATTTTGATGCTTTAAAATCTATCTATTCTTTAGTTCTAATTATTTCCTTTGTAACAGCTCAATTAGAAAATATGATTTATATAGAACCTGCAGGAGCTGGGGAGGATGATCAAGATGTAACATTATTCAATATAAGCGCGATTTCTGCTGCTACAAATAATTTCTCCCCAGATAATCAGATTGGACAAGGAGGTTTCGGTCCTGTTTATCAGGTAACTATCAGTTGTAAGAAATGAAGTTTCTCCGATATGCTGATGCCAAAAATGTTCCACATCAATGCTGTTTAGGGTCAATTTCCAGATGGACAGAATATTGCTGTAAAGAGACTGTCACAGAATTCATATCAAGGGATCCAAGAATTTAAGAACGAAGTCACGTTGATTGCACAACTTCAGCACCGAAACCTTGTTAAGCTTTTGGGATGCTGCATTCAAGGAGAAGAAAGAATGCTAATCTATGAGTACATGCCCAATAAAAGTGTTGACCAATTTATATTCGGTACATTTGTGTTACATTCTAAGAATTTTTCATAACCTCATCTTATGCAACTGAATGAAATTTGCCTTGACCAAGGAAAATTTTCTGTTTCTGTTGAACTTGATGTGATATCATTATCAGATGAAGCCAGGAAGATATTACTGCCTTGGGAAAAGCGCTTTGGCATTCTTAAGGGAGTTGCCAAGGGATTAAATTATCTTCATTATGAGTCCATAGTGAGGATAATCCACAGGGATCTGAAGGCAAGTAATGTTTTGCTTGATAATGAGATGAATCCCAAAATATCTGACTTTGGTCTAGCAAGGATTTTCGAAAATGAGAGAGAGGAAACTACTAGGAGAGTGATTGGAACACAGTAAGTAAAGTTCACACAGAAGATTCTTCTTTAAATTATGGAAATTTTTTGTTAAACTACTTGAACTGTTTCCTTTGTCATGGCTTCAGTGGTTACATGTCACCAGAGTATGTGATGGATGGCCATTATTCGATGAAGTCAGATGTGTACAGTTTTGGTGTTTTAGCAATAGAGATTATAAGTGGCCAAAAGAATTGGGGTTTCCATCATCCGGATCATGAGCATAATCTTCTTGGGCATGTAAGTAGGGCATTTACTCCAGAAGTTCTTTTCCACTTCTGTTTATTAGGCTCGCCTCTGGAAAAATGTTCAATTAAGCTGGACGTGGACTTGATATTGAATTTATTCAGGCATGGGCATTGTGGAATGAGGGACGCGCTTTGGAACTGATGGATCCAGTTTTAGAAAAGTCATCTGATGAGACTAAAATTTCTCGATGCATCCAAGTTGGCCTGTTGTGTGTCCAGCATCGGACCGAAGGAAGGCCAACAATGTCCGAAGTGGTTTCCATGCTGCAGGACGAGCATGGAACATTAGCTGAACCTGGGGAACCTGGATTCTTTAGAGTAAGGTCTTTCGGGTGGACTGTTCCTGCATCATGGGACTTAAACGACAGTGTCAATGGTTTGACAGTAACAACTTTAACAGGTAGACTATAATATAGATTGAAGACAGTCTCTATACAAGGAACGATAACAGTAACATCGATTTCTCCTAAAGAAAGCAGTAAATCAGCATAATACTTGAGAAAAAGTTTTGAAGACAGTTGATCATTAGGGAAAAAAATTTGGCAGGACATTTTTGCATCCCGACCACTGGAAAATAGTCATTAGTCAGTAAATTTAGACGATATGGAGAATACTATAAAGAATTTAGCAATATTCCTTACCAATTTTTTTTTTTCTTTGGCTTACCTAGTGGTTTATAGATGTTTAGAAAACCCAGGTATGAATCAGGGGATATTATAGCTTGGAAGGAGACATTTATTTATCCTGAATCCAAAAAAAATAAAAAAAATAAAACTGTTATCAATTGATCGATATTTTTTATGCTGATACAAAGATAAACAATTACTTATGTATCTGATTTCCTTGTATTTTTACAGATGATAACTTTTTTCCTTTTCCAGCAAGAGTTGCCAGGACTCATTTCTTTGTTCTAAGCTGGAAAGGACAGAATATACTATGTCATAGATTTCCGGGCTTTATTGTCGACCTAGTACTTGATTGTATGTCTATTAAATTTAATCTTAGCGGTGCCAATCAGGGGAGGACACAAGGGGAGGCATGAGAGTCACGTGACCTCCCGACTTTTGGGCGCCTCTTTTTTTTTTTTTAACCCACCATTAAATTTTCTGTGTTTTCCATTTAATTTTTAAAGTTATTACGGGATGCCAAATGAAGTTGAAATATTACGTTCCTACTATTATTTTGAAGTGCTCTGATGGAATGATGTCTGATAATGTGGATTTAGATTAATTACCCCAAGAACAGGTTGAGATTGTACTGTTAGCTGCAAGAGAATCAATGGAAATCAATGAAGTATGAGATCTTTTTGGGAATTCTCTGTAATGTTTATATATTCAAATGAACTATAGGCAACACAAGACATAAAAATACGTTATTTAGCACAGGGGCTGATATACCACCCTTTCACTAATCCTCCATTTTTTCTTCTTCTTCCTTACCCCCCTTGTTTATTTACACCCTACCCCCTACAACTAACTTCAACAAAATGACTAACAACTCTTAACAAATTGAGTGACCTTACATAATTCTACAGACTACTAATGCCATGCTGTCATATGGATAGCTCCTGCCTACTTGATCTCCTGTGCCAGTTGTATGTGAATTTAATTGGAGGCTTATCAAATACACCCCCCCCCCCCCCCCCCCCCCCCTCCATTTGTCTCTATTACAAACTATTTTTTTCTACACCAATCTGTGCAAGTGGAAGAGAAGTAAACGATTAATTGATTAAGTCGAAAGGCTCCCAAGTGACTTCCATTAGTAAAAGTCTACTATGGCTCTACAAGAAATTCCCAATCTTCGCCAAGTTATATGGGTAGCGATGAGGCTACTTGGGTATCTCCCATTACTTTTTGCAATTGCGAAACATAAAAAATCGGATAGATACTAGTGGTAACTGACAATGAAAGGTGGTAGGCCACTTTGCCCACCCTTGCCACTACCTGCGAAGGTCCGTAACACCGTGTGGCCAACTTTTCATTGGAGCATGTCACCAACTATCTGCACCTGTATGGTCTCATTTTCACATAAACCAAATCACCTACTGTATATTCCACCTCCCTTCTGTGTTTGTCAGCTACCCATTTCATTTGTTGCCGTGCCTTATGTAAATGTACCTTTAATTCTTCCAAAATTATATTGCACTCCAGCATTTGTTATTCCAATGATGAGATAGCTGCAGCACCCTACTCAAAATGAAGTAGTGGCGGAAGGTCGCTCCCATGTAAGATACAGAAAGGAATGAATTGCGCTAAGACATGATAGGAAGTATTATAGGAATATTAAGCCTATGTTAAGAAATGGTACCGTTGCCTAGGTTTAACTGATGCGAAAACATCTCAAGTATGCCTCTACTACCTTGTTTACCATCTCGGTCTGCCCATCAGTTTAAGGATGATACGCTGAACTGTATTTAATATCGTCCCCATAATTTGAAAAGCTCATATCAAAATTGGCTCAAAAACACCTTATCTCTATTGGAAACTAGAGAATGAGGCAGCCCATGCAACTTAACCACTTCCTTCATAGAAATTGCAGTAATAGATGGGGCTGAAAATGGGTATTTCAAGCCTACAAAATGTGTGTACTTACTCAGGCGATCAACCACTACTAGGATAGATTCGAATCTTTCCAAAAGTGGCAGCTCTTCTACAAAATTCATCGAGATATCTTCCCAAACCTTGTCGGTAATGGGCAATGGTTGGAGAAAACCTGCAGGCGCAAGTGCAGAGTATTTGTGTTGCTGACTGATTGCAAATTCAGCCACATAGTTTTGAATATCTTTCCACAAATGGGAAATCCTTTGGTAACACAGTCTATCACATTACAACAAGGATCCCGGAGCAGTGAATATCTTGGTGGAACTATCTGTCTATTGCGCAATGAGTTATTTAAAATACCTAACTCAGCATCCTCTTTTACTTCCCTCTTTAGTGCTTTTAGTTCCATGGTGCTTGGCACACCGAGGCCATTATAGTTGCAATTGCATCTCTTCTTGAGAGTGTCTCAACTGCTATTATGCTTCCCCACATAACACCTCGACACGTCTGATTTAGACGCCAACCGAAACATGTGAAAAGGTCTTCGTGTCTGACACGTAAAGTCATCGAAGTGATATAGTTCGAGGCGTCTACATGTTTCGAGGTATTGCTTTCAAAGCGTGAAGTATCAAGGCGTTATGCTACGGAGAAGAGGAGAAGCACCTCTACGCTGCCAGTTTCATAAATAGATCTTTTGGTCAAAATTGAAAAAAGAAGTTAAGATGAGTTCAAGCAATGAAGATATTAATCCTAGAAGGATTAAGATGAGTTCAAGCAATGAAGATATTAATCCTAGAAGGATGAGAGATGTTTCTGAAGAAGAAGAGGTGCTTCGAGCAAATGTCATATGTCGGAGACCTCATCGTCACCGTCATGAAGCTAGTAGAGCGATCGAGAGGCTGGCCGTAGAGGTAGCCCAGATGGTTGCAAGTATCAAGGACATTGCAGCATAGAATGCGGAAATGCATGAACTCCTCATGCAAGTCCCACGCCAGCAAGGCCTCCAATTGCCAAAAAGGTCTCAATAGATCAAGTATAGCCTCCTGCATCACATAGCTGAGGCCACTCGAGCTGTCAAAGGAAGCCCCCTATTGAAAGAGAAGTAAGAGTAGATATCTCTTCGTATGCGGCAGGCACATAAGTAGTGGATCCTCAATTGGGGGAGAACTTCCTACCAGAATATGAGCTCCAAAGATAGTTAGTGTTTTTGACCGAATAGGACGAAATCCAAATAGCAGAGTTCACTCCATCCAGAAATCAGCCCAGCAAGAGCAAAGACTGAATTAAAAGGCACAACCTCCGCCTAGAAATAGGAATGAAAGGAAAAACTTAGTCGATTGGGAAAATCGGCAGGACGTTTCCCAGCTTCCTCCCCAAAACGAGCCAGATGGGAACAATTCTGAAGGGCCATGCCGACCATATAAAATAGACAATGATGATGATAACCTCCCATTTTCAAGAGAAATTCAAAGCTTCCCAATGCCTAAGAACTTTATGCCCCCTAAAATTCCTAAGTATAAGCGAAAAAGTGAACAAAAAAAAAATACCTCAACAAATACATGACGTAGATGAGCCTACGAAGGGCCTCACCAGCATTAAAGTATAGGGCCTTCCACCTGACCTTAGCTGGGGCATTGAAGTTTGGTACTGTCGGTTGTCACCACTAAGCATTAGGAATTGGACCTATCACGAAGGGAAGAAGCGACCCTAGTACAACGTTTGCAGGATATGAGGCAAGCACCTGGAAGACGCTCAAGAGTTACCTCATCAGATTCACTAATGAGATAACCAACTTCGAACAAGTTATAGACAGAGAGGCCCTTTCAACCTTGAAAGGAGGCCTGAATATGAATACCTCATTTTGGAGAGATGTGCGAAGCAAGAACCCAACCACTTATGACGAACTGATGAAAATTATGAGAGTGGAGATCGTCAATGAAGAAATGATTGACCACCAAAATCGTACAGTACATGGACCCTCACCACCTTAGAGGCAAACAGGGTGAGGGCCCTCTGCACACTTCGTTACCCAACAATGGACCCAAGCTGGACACACTGTGGCACCCATCTCAGGGCAGGCTTTTGCTTCTGCCGTGTTGAACACGGTCCTAATATTGGCATACGAGAATGTTGGTCCAAGTGAAAATGCCGAGGGAGTACTGTTAAGGAGGATAATGTCTAGAGGTCAATGTAGGAGAAGATCCAAAAAATTAGCCCGCAAAAGAGGCGGCAAAATATTGCACTTTCCATCATCTCTACTAACAAAACACTAGCGACTATTGGGATACCTTATGATCATTACAGAGAAGCAACCCGCGCCTCTCTAGGGAAGACCACAGCCGTGGGAATCATCAACGTTCCACTTCGCCCAATAGGAATGCGAGGCGTTAGAGGGATCACAATCCTTGATGGAAAAAGGAAATAGATAATAGAACCCAAGGAGAATTTTGACAGAGGGATTAGGCTGCAGCCACTGAGGGCGAGCCGATCCATGAAATTGATACAATCATTGGGAGCCCCATATAGGGGACAACATTCGAAACGTGCAATGAAACTACGCTAGCAAAGCGAAAGATCCCTTACTAGTTACATTGTTAATAAATCCCAACAAGTGGATAGAGTGGGACCAATCACCTTTTCCCAAGACGATGCGCGGGGTATACACTATCCCCATAGTGACGTATTATTAGTAAGAGCAGTTGTAGCTCAAAACAGACTGAAGCGCATGCTCGTTGATAATGGGAGCTCGGTAAACATACTATTCGCCTCCACCTTTGATAAAATACAGATCAATCATGGCCTTATTCCCATAATCGAACCCTTGTACGCTTCAATGGTGACAGCATCATCCCATGAAGTCGAATTACATTGGGCGTTGAGATAGAATCAGCCTTCCTCGTAGCTCGTTACTTCATAGAATTCTTGGTGGTAGACTATAGATCTGTTTACCATGGCTTACTGGGAAGACTTGCCTTGAAGGAGCTATGGGCTGTCACTTTGATTCTCTATTTACGCATGAAGTTTTCTATCGAACACGGCATTGCTACAGCTCGAGGAGACCAAATGGGATCAATGGAGTGTTATCTCAACTCTGCGAAAGTTCGAACCCCGTATCGTAAATGTCATCATAGCTGACATCGATGCTAATGTCGATATGGATGTAGAGATGAACGACGTCCCTAAACAA